CCTCCCGCGCGCGATCAAAATCAGGGTCTACGAGGAAATTATTGAAAGGATTCAAATGTACTTTCACCAATACCTTGAGTCCGAGCTGCTCAACAAGGTAATTTTGCTGAATAAGTTTGGGAGGAAGATTGATGAGTTGTGGGATGCCCTTGATACCCGAAAGACAGAATGAGAGCAAGTGGCTAATTTCAAGGACGTTGAGAAGCGACCGTAGATGAAAGTAGTTCCAAAGCTACTATCGCTACCTGTTTTACAAAGTTTGTGAATCTTCTTACTGAGGAAAACATTGAAGGTGTGAAATTCATTTGTTATACATCCAACACCACCCTCATTGTTTAGAATCTGCTGGTGATTTAATTTTTATTGGATGGAAAGCTATTCCTTCCTTGTTAGGTGTGCTTCTGAAGCTTGGCATGATGAGTCCTCAAACATTTAAAATAGTGTGCCTATAAAATGAAGTAATTAATAAACTGTATTTTTAAGTCTACAGTATTACTTCAAACAATAGAATTAACTTGAATCATAATTAATTTATATGATCTTACTTTCATTAAGGGATAATTAAAAATTTTAATTTAAGGTGCACTAGAATTAAAACTCTTAAAATCCCTACTTAACCGGATAAAGTAATTCTGCTGAAAAAATGAGAAAAGAAGTAAAAAAAAAACAAAAGAAAAAGAAAAAGAAAAAGTGAGCAAAGACTTATTGCAAATAAAAATGTTGAAAGGAAAGGAGCTAAATGAAAAAAAAATAAGGGAGAAGAAGCTTGACGTTAAGTGCGGGAGTAATCCAACTTTGATTGTTTTTTTAGCTCCTCATATTAAAAGATTAATCTCTTCCTTAATGAAACTAGGGTATCCTATAAAAACAAGTAGAATAAGGACACGACCTATTACTTAAATGGTAATTGGGTGTTTAAGAAAACTTATGGAAGGTTGAAAAAGATTATAGCCCCACCTAATCAATTGGATTGAAAAGATTTGTGTCAAGAGGAAAATGATTAAAGGAAGGCTAAAGTTATTACCAAAGCACTAAAAGTCCCACTAAAGCTAGATATCCTAGACCTTTAACAAATTCTTACCCATGCTGACAAATGGTAAAGATATTTCCATGATAAAGTCAACTGTTATTCTCACATCTTAGCTTAGCGATGGAATTACTTGATAACAAGTAATGAGTAAGTTTGGTGGGTGTTATGTAAGTGAAATATGAGATATAGTTTTGGCATGTTTACTCATATTTTTACATCTTTTATACCAATATTATGCTTAAGAAAGCTATTTTTGTTTTATTTTTGCAGGCGATAGGTTAGATGCAATTTTGGCATGAAAAGGATGAATTTAGGAAATAACATCTGATTTTGACCCAGCACTACCGACGAACTTACGATGCACTTGAGCCAAAACATCATTACCGTGCCCAAAATAGAGCACAATCGTGCTAGGTTAAAGCACCTGCGTCGTAGGCACGATGAGCTCACTTCCAAACATTGCAAATCTGGCACCCCTATGACAGTCTCGCTAAACCAAATTTAGAAGAGTTTTTCTTTCTTTTGTCAAACTTTGCCTATATATACACTTATAGAGATGTGTCTAGGGCATCTTGGGTAGCTGGATGCTATGACAAAAGGGAGATTTTGGTGAGAAAGAGTTCTCTTCTTGGGTTTTTTTCCTCTCTTTGGATAGAAATCTTTAGGAGTTATTTTTTGCTTCTCTTCTTCCCATTTGTTCTTGATATTCTTTAGAGTTTGCGTATGAGAGGGAGATCTTCTATTATTATGGAGAGAACAATTCTTGATTATAAGTTTTACAATTATTTTTTTCTTGCAATGATGATCTGCAAGGCTTATTGCCTGTGGTTTTCTCTACAATGCACGACTAATTTTCCTTTGTAACTTTGTGATGTAGGATTAGTGGGTTTTATCACAATTTTTTAGATGTTGTCCATGTAGTGTTTTTGAGAATTTATGTATATATGTTGATGGTTAGCCTTTTAGATCTCATTTACTCCTAGTCTGGACAATTAGAATGATAATATCTTTTGTGATCAATTACTTCTGTCCATTGCGAAGTGGAATGAATAGGTTAACCATGGAATCCTGATAGAATAGGCATATTGTAGTGGGATTTTGTAACATTGACAGGGGATTGGAACTTCATGGGTTTCTAGTCCTTCTTTTGACCAAGTCATAAGCATACGAACAAACTTATCCCTAGTTGACAAACATCATGTAAGAAAACATTAAGAAAAACCACGAACACCCGTGATACCTGAATCAAAGAGGCACGAGCCCCATCACTCTTAAAGAAAACTAGTTTTTCCCTGCTTTCTATTTTCTTCTTTCTACGATAACTTTTTGTTTTCTGTTAGGATTTCAACTCTCTATTGTCATCACAACACACAAAATGCCAAAAATAAAAAATAAAAAATAAAATAAAATCAAAATTACTTTAAAAAATTCCATGGTAATCCACCAGGTGGTCCCTCACAATGAGTGAATTTTCATAAATTTTAGAATTCATTTTATAAGAAATTCATTTCTTAAAAGAGAATAGTAGTAATTATTTATGAAATTAGCTTATAAAAATATATAATAAAATCAACCTAAACTTTTTCATATGACTTAATCAATAATTTAGAAAATTTTGAAATTTAAAACATCATATCATTATAAAACAGAAAATAACTGTTTTTCAAACGAAAAGAGGACTTCAACTAAACGATAGGTACAATTTATTTGTTTTCGCTGCAAAATTTTGCATAACTTCATACTTATTAAACTTAAAATCAAAATATTGGCATTCAAAAGTTATTGCCAAGCATCACAAGCCCATCCCCAGTTCCTTAAATTTGCTGCAGTTGATCTCATCAGGTGAGCTTGTCTAAATGCCAACTAAAAAGTTATCAAGCCACCATATCCTTGATAGCTGAGCTAAAATACTCTTCAAAATACCCAGGAGGCTCATAGATGAAGCAAGAAATAACATCCCTGAGTGTTACTACACCCACAACTTCTTCATCTCCATTAACGACATAAATTCTGGGCACACTTCTTGAAGCCAAGCTGTCTATCACACTGCCAAGGCAAGTATCAAGAGCGCATGTAAGCAGCTGTGTCCCAGAATTAGGACTGGCTGTCTCTATTGCCTTGATGAAATTCATTACAGTCAGTTCCCTGCATAAATAGTATAGCACTAAGAAAAAATCTCTTTGAGGTGGAATCAACCTTATGAAATTTAGATGGCTGTCTGGAAAAGCAATACCTGAAATTCCGGAAAAGCTCGGGATTGAGCAACAAAAATCTGATGTCCTGTATGCTTACACTACCAATAATTTTTCTATTTGAATCCTCAACAACCGGAAGACCACCAATTCTTTTGTCCTTCATGCGTTTGAAAGCCTCTAGGATTAGCTCGTCGCTTTGGATGGTAATGACCTGACATTCAGAAAATAAATATCAGTTAAGAGATCGTCGCAAAGAACATCCATATGTGTAGGGTACTTGATGGTCAAGAAACCTGCAAGACTTCACAAACCTTACCTGAATTTCACATCACTGTGGAAATAGGATCGTAGAACAATTTCGTATAATGTAAAGACCAATATTTACCTCATCATAAGACATGAAAGGAAGTCCAAGATCTGATAGTGGATGAGCAGCAATGCAGTCAAACCAATCCCTCCCCTTACATTGCTTGAGGCCTCTTACAACTGCTGATTGTGTGATGAAGTTCTTGATGTGGAACTTATCTAAATCAATTACCGGAACATTCCTCAATCTATACTTTGAGAGCAACAACAGCACGGTGAGCATGGGACTATCAACTGCAACAGGGAGGAAAGGTGCCCAGCGATACATCTCAACGACAGATTTCACCTGCAAAAGACACAGCAAAACTGTATCCACCTTCTATAAAATGAAATTTTGATTTAAGCAGTGATTGTCAAAAAAATAAGACGTCAGCAAGTTGGAATCATTATAAGTTAAGACTACAAAGTATCAGTTTCACCAAAAATATCCACCATCTCGCTTGCTGCTACAAGAGGAAAAAACGAACTAGGAAATAGACAAAAAGTGTAACTTTTATAAGATGCACGGTTTAGATGGCAGTTAAAATTACAGCAAGAGTGGGTATTTACCGTTGTCGATTTGAATGGTTCTTCTTGTCGTAGTAGTCTGTAGAATTGTTCCCCCAGGTGATCTGCAGCTGTTGCAGCATCTCTCCCAACACTCTTCTCTGCAGCTATTCCACCAGCCAATGCAGCGCCAGAAGCAGCAAGGGTCAACCCAGCCACTTGCCACCTCTGCATTTCTTACAGGAGCAGCCAAGATATTGTTTCTAGATAAGATTTGAACAGCATCAAGAATAGATGCATCAGATGGAATTTCGATCACTGCATCAAAAAGAGAGAATTTCAAAACTTAAATGCTCTCTTTAGCAAAGTATGGATAAATCTCTGCTATTCGTGTTAAAAAAGAAATACAATTACCAAGCAGTCCCCTTCCCATCTGTATTATATCATTAGGTTCAATTAACTTGAACTTTTTACGAAAATGATAATACTGGGCTCTTCCCCAATATCGCTTCAGTGAGACAGGAAGAGTGAAAGAAGTCAGGTGAGTAGTTGCCACTTATTCAAACTCTTGAAAGCTTACGAGATAGTGATAGAGAAGGTGTCTTTTTACCAAGATGCTGATTATTCTTGACATGAGAAAACTGGTGGATGGTAAAGGGAAAAACAGATTCCCATCATTACCTTGTGGCAAAAAAAGAGTATCTATCTGCAGTAACTTCCAATTTCCTTCCCTTTTTCTCCCCAAACCTTCTTCTACCACTCCCCTTAACCGCCTACCACCCCAAATCCATCCACCTCACTGCCGCCACCTCTACTTTCCCCGCAATCTTGTCGTCCCACCTACCTACAATCAACAAATCACCATCCTAACTTACCCAAGCAACCGCCCGACCTTCCCCACTTTTCCCTACCATCTCGCCGACACCGCCACCGCCTTTGAATCTATTCCTACACCCTAACCGAAGATTTGTTTATTATTGTATTTCCTTTCTGTTGGAGTCATGTTGTAATCTTATTTTTATATTAATAAAAGCTTGATTTTTGTGTTACACCGCATTCCAACTAGTTTCGGTATCATTTGGTATCAAAGCTAACTCAACCCTAGTCCCATCCTAGGGTCTCCTAGCATTCGCCCCTACCCAAGCCACCTCCACAAATTTTTTTCCAGAAAATTCCCAACCCTAGCTATGCCACCGCGAAGAAGTACAACAGACTCGACTTGGGAAGAGATTCAACGAGAAATTCATCATCTACAACGGAGACTAGCAGAGCTGGATGATGGAAACCAAGAAGTTACCTTTGACCGTGATCGAGAGAGTTAAAGAGAAGACAGAGACGAGGAGATGAATCCGTTCCACAAGGAAGACCACAGTGACGAAGAATATCGAGCATGTCATTTTGGTATCCAATATCAAAGGAGGTCGAGAGGAGAGGCCCCTTATGGAGATCTGCGGAACTTTGGCATTAAGATAGACCTCCCAGAGTTTGAGAAAAGCATGAACCCCGATGAGTTTATCGAATGGCTGCAATCAGTCGAACGAATCTTCAAGTATAAAGACATACTAGAGGACAAGCGAGTCAAACTAGTTGCAATTAAACTAAAGAAGAATGCCTCTTTATGGTGGGAAAATCTACAAAGGCAGAAGAGATGAAGAAGTGAGAAGATAACTAAGTGAGAGAAGATGAAAAGGCAATGCAGAAAATATACCTCCCACAACAGTATCGTCAGGACATGTTCCTAAAACTCCACAACATGGAGCAACAAAATCTATTAATTGAAGAGTTCACGTCCCAGTTTGACCACCTGCAGCTAAAGTACGAACTGACAGAGCCAGCAGAGCACACGATCGTTAGATATCTCAAGGGTTTAAAGCCCACCATTAGTAATGTGATACAGCTACAAACATAATGGATGTTAGGAGATGTGAAAATATTAACCTTGAAAGTAGAGAGGCAACAAAAGCAAAGCGGGCAACAGACGGTATTCAGACCACCATCGTTAGCCAAGCAGTCACCTGTAACTTCTACAGCCGGGAAGGGTACATCAGGAGGAAATAACAGAATTGGACAAGAATCTGATAAGGCCGATCAGAGTGGGAAGAAGCCTGAGAAAGGTGGTCCCTCCAATACAGTGCCATCCAGGAAGTGTTTCAAGTGCCACTGCTACGGTCACATAGCCTCCAGATGCCCAACAAACCGAGTCGTCACACTCACAGATCAAGGCGCCGTAGAAAAGCCTGAGAAAGGTGGTTCCTCCAATACAGTGACATCCAGGAAGTGTTTCAAGTGCCACTGCTATGGTCACATAGCCTCCAGATGCCCAACAAACCGAGTCCTCACACTCACAGATCAAGGCGCCGTAGAGGAAATCAATAAGGAATCAGAGAGTCTAGAAGATAAACTTTAGCTCCACGGAGACAAAGGAGAAGCATTAGTCATTCGGCGAATACTGCCAGTCTGAACAAAAGCGAAACCAATCCTGGTTAAAGCATAGCATTTTTTGCACCAAGTGCACCGTAAAGGGGAAGGTCTGCAACCTGATCATCGACAGTGGGAGCTACGAGAACGTGGTGTCCACGCTCATGGTGAAAAAACTAGGATTGGACACAAAAGCATCCCCAATCATATTCTCTTACCTAGATGAAGAAGGGAAATGAGAAACGTGTAGATCAGTAGCGCCTAGTTAATTTCTCCATCGAAGACCAGCTACACGAACAAGTATGGTGCGACGTGGTTCCTATGGACGCCTGCCACATTCTGTTAGGAAGGCCTTGGCAGTTTGATCACAAGACTCAACACGACGGGTTCTAGAACACTTATTCTTTCAAGAAGGATGGGAAACGTATCGTTTTACTACCTGTTAAGGATGCAAAAGACAGGACCAATATAGAGGCTGCATTAGTTCCTCGTAACACTTTCCTGCAGTAAGTTAGAGATACCCCTGTAACACTAGCATTAAACCTCCTGGAAGGAAGCGAGGAAAGAGGTACCAAGACTACTGCAACCATTATTACAGGACTTTCAGGATGTTATGACTAACACCTTACCAGAGGGAATACCACCACTAAGGGACATCCAACACGCCATAGACCTTATACCAGGATTTGTATTGCCAAACCGACCAACCTCTAGATTAAGACCAGCGGAGTACGAAGAACTACAACGGCAATTGCAGGATCTCGTTGCAAGAGGGCTAGTCAGAGAAAGCACCAGCCCGCCCTGATGGTGCCGAAAAAGGATAGATCATGGAGAATGTTCATCGACAGTCGAGTAATCAACAAGATTACCATCAAATGTTAATTTCTCATACCCCTCTTGGATGATCTCTTTGACTAGCTACATGGAGCCACTATCTTCTCCAATATAAACTTGCGTCGTGGATATCACTTGATATGGATGAGGCCAGGAGGCAAGTGGAAGACTGCCTTCAAGCTGTGGGACGAACTTTATGAGTGGATCGTTATGTCTTTTGGTCTGTCGAACCCACCTAGCACTTTCATGAGATTAATGAACCAGGTATTCCGACCTCACATTAGAAAGTTTGTCTACTTTGACGACATTCTAGTATACAACTAGTCGGAAGACAATCACTTGCATCACCTGAAGGCAGTATTCAAGGTACTGTGAGTCGAGCAACTGTATGCCCGTCCGAAGAAATGTCACTTCATGACAAGTCAGGTCTTTTTGGGTTACATGGTGTCTAGTCCAGGCATTTAAATGGATCCCGTAAAGATAGAGGTCATTATCAGATGAGCCATACACAATCATTTAGCAAGCTAAGGCAATTTTTGAGAGTAACATCCTTCTAATGATGATTCATCAGACACTTCCAACACCATCACCTCCCCTTTGACTGAACGTCTCAAGAGGAAGGCATTTGTTTGGACAGCAACAACCCAGAACAATTTTGATACACTAAAAGAAAAGGTGACTCAGGCACCCATGCTAGCACTACCAGACTTTAGCAAACCTTTTGAGGTAGAATGTAATGCCTCCGACGTAGGGATGGGAGCGGTACTAAGTCAGGGAGGACACCCCATCGCTTTCTTCAATGAAAAGTTGAACGAGTTCAGGAGAAAATACTCAACCTACAATAAAGAATTCTATGCCATCGTAAGAGCTCTGGAACACTAGAGTCATTACCTATTGAAAAACAAGTTTACACTATTAAAACAAGTTTACACTATTTTTACAGATCATGAAACCCTAAAATTCCTCAACGGCCAGAGCAAACTAAAGGGACGACACGCCACCTGGGTGAAATTTCTAGCCTCATTCATGTTTGTGCTAAAACACAAGGGGGGAAGCCAAAACCACATAGCAGATGCACTGAGTCATCGACACCTATTAATCACATCCATGCGATTCGAGTTGTGGTCTTCGAGGTCATAAAGGATCTATATGAAATAGACGAAGATTTCAAAAACATATGTGAGCAATATCAGGAGAAGTCAGCAGGGCAATATTACCACACAGATGAATAATTATTCCACTAGATTCAGTTGTGCATTCTCCGGTGTTCACTAAAGGGGGTCATTGTCCAGGAAGGCCACAACAGAGGACTAGCAGGTCATTTCGGCAAGGACAAGACCTCAACGTCGCAAGAGAGCATTTTTTTGGCCAAAGCTAACAAGAGATGTAGAACAATATGTCAAGCAATGCAGGATTTGTCATCTAGCAAAGACAAGAGCTCAGAACGTTGGATTATACGCACCACTTCCAGTACCAGAGGTACTGTGAATGGACGCTAGCATTGATTTCGTGCTAGGACTTCCAAGGACTCCGTAATAATTATAGTAGACAGATTCTCCAAAATGACCCACTTTGTACCTTGTCATCGGACACTAAACGCCTCTCACATCACCGATCTATACTTCAGGGAGATTGTAAGGCTGTAGAGAATTCCCAAGGCAATCACCTCCGACAAAGATGTCAAATTCTTGAGCCACTTATGTAGGACACTATGAGGAAAGCTCGGCACCAAACTCTAATTCAGCTTGGTTGCGCATCCACAAACAGACAAACAAAGGTAGTAAATCGGAACCTAGTTAATCTCCTGAGGTGTTTTGTGGGAAAAAACATAAAACAATGGGATCTTATCCTAGCCTAAGCTGAGTTCGGCTATAACAGATCCATCAACCAAACAACTGGAAGAACTCTCTTCGAGATTGGGAACGGGCGCAATCCACTCACATCACTTGAATTGGTACCACCACTGCCGCCTTCAAAAATTAGCAAGAATGCCACAAAAAGAGTTCACGAGATTCAGGAGCTCCATGAAGTTGGCAAGGAAATTGTTAAGCAGAATAAAAAATACCAGGCACAGGCAAATAAATCCAGGAAGAAATTAATGTTTCAAGAAGGCGACCTCGTATGGATTCGATTGAAAAAAGAATGATTTACCACAAGATCATTCGGGAAGCCTAAGTTGAATCCCGATGGGTCATTCAGAATACTCCAAATGCTGAACGACAATGCCTATAAGATCGATCTGTCCGAGGACTAAAACAATTCAGCCACGTTCAATGTCACTGACTTAACATAATACTTTGAAGAGCCTGAAGCTTCAACAAACGAGGTTGAAGCTTCCCCAACCCCGGGCTAACGCGGACGCCAAAGCTACGCTCGGATGTGGGCGCTGACTCCCGAAGCAAGGAACATTAAACCGCGGGTCTAGGCCTCGCTTAGAATTGCAAAAGCGGGAGGGAGGGGATTGCGAATTCTCGTGAGGGCAAGAGATTCCGCGAGATGGCTGGATGGATCGCGCTAACTATGGCAATCTATCTAGGGCATCACCAATCTGCCGCTCTAAGGAGTGTTTTCTGGATTTTTCTTGGCTTCCCGCTCTCTTCCTTTGGGTAGAAGCTTCTTCCGCCCGGCGGGCCTACCCCTGTGTATGGAGAGTTAATTCTAGTGGAGTTATCTTTTGATCTCCTGTGTGGAGTCTCTTCCCTTTTGTTAGGGCTATATCCGAAAACAAGTGGTGTTTCGGTTGTATCTAGCTCCGAGGTGGTATTGTAAACTTCCAATTTCCTTCGCTTCTTCTCCTCGACCCTTCTCCTACCAATCCCTTTAGCCAACTACCACCCCAAATCCTTCCACCTCACTGTCGTCATTTCTACTTCGCCCAAAACCTTGTTGTCCCACCAACCTACAATCAACCGAACACCATCCAAACTTACCCAACCAACCAATCGACCTTCCCCACCTTTCCCT